CAAGGGCCGGTGCGTCGAAACCCGGCGTGACGTCGCCAGGCCCGTCCGCTGGCGGGGGGGAAGAGGGCACGTCGATCGGCGTAACGTCCTGAAGGGTCTCCCCTCCCCAGTCGGGCGGCGTAGGTGAAGACATGATGGATTGAACACTGCGTGCAAACTTATGGTATGGCAACCAGGCTCGAATGCGCTCTTTTTAGCGTTCGGGCAGAGCAAGGTGATACGGGAAGAAATTCGCGATGGCACTGATCTGTATCCTCACCTGCTCGGCGTCAAAAGGCCGGTGCACGTGGGGTGGCCAGCGAATGCCAAGCTCGGCAACCGCAGGGGCCAGCTGGGTGCAAAAGGGCAAATGGAAAGCTGACCTGCGAGCTGAGGCCTAGAAAGAAAATGCTATGTTACAGAAGGCACAGCCAGCAGCGGGGCAAGCCTATTGCGGCAGCCACGCAAAGCCGGAGTGAAAGTGTGTGCAAAGATGGCAGCCACCTCGATGCCAGGTCCGGTCCTGGCGGCACAAAAGTAGCAAAACTGACGAAATGAAAGGGCCCTGAGAAAGTGTGCAAAAAAGCTTGCAGCGCAGCAAGCCTTCTGTGGCGGCCGCGCAAGCGAGCTGGACGAGGGCCGGCAGTCGTGAAGATACAAGTGCCTCACCAGGGTGAGCGCTGCAAGGAGTATGGCAAAGTGTGCTGGCCGGCGAGGTGCCCGCGAGCAGACTAAGAAGAAGGAAAAACTGAGGTGGCGGACGGCAGTGGTGGTCCGCAAGGCCAGTCCTGGCAGCAATGCAAAAATGAGCAGCGGATGGCCGCAAAGCTCGGTTACAACTCAAAAGGCTGGGCCTGAGGCGACAGCTGGTCAAGGGCGGCCGGCGGCCCGCTTCTTGTTCGCCCTGTTCCAGTTTTTGCCCCCGCGCTTGCGGCCAGGTGCACGCGGCTTAGGCTGGCTAGGCGCACGCGCCAGCGCTTGGCGGCCGGCTGGGCGCGATGGTGCCGCGCGAGGTGCCGGGGCGGGGGTGAGGCGGGCGCGCCGCGCAGGCGGTGGTGGGGGTGGCGGCGGGCGCGGTGCAGCAAGCGCGACTTGCGGCCCAGCAGGCGACCCTGGCTCCGGTCGCAGTACTCCCCCCGCGGCTAGAACGGCGGCCACGGGCAGCAGCAGGAACTCCTGCTCGAAAACCTTGGGCATGCAACTACCCTCCCGGCTACGCGCCCCTCCGGCAGCAACCCCCCAGCTGCGTGCAAACCACGCCCAGGAGCGGTTGCCAGTGGCCCCCCAGCTGCACGCCGCGGTGCCCAAGGGCGGCCAAGCGAGGGGGGGTGCTACGCTCCCGACCCTTGAGCTTGAGCCAAACCACTTGAGCCAAATGGCTCAAGTTCCCCTGCTCCAACTGTGGTCCGAGGACGCCGTAGTGGTACCGAGCGGCGACCCACACAGCCATGACGAAGAAGATGATGAAGCCCAGCTCATGCAGTCCTTCACACACTTTGGCCATATCAACTCTGCTTCAACCGTGGCACAAGGCCTTGAGCAGGTAGAGGTTGGTGCAAGCCCATTTTGGCTCAAGCAAGTTTGCTGTCGTGATTGACCCCCATAGTGACTCTTCGCGGCCGCTCCTAGGCACTTTGCTGTAAGTGGGGGGCCGAAGCGTAGCTGGCATGCATGGTCGCAGTATAACACTCCACCTCGGAGCAGAGACCTTAGAAGGCGTCGACGTGGACGGGCACCCCGTGTTCACTGCGGATGCCGTGCGCAGCAGGCGGCTGGGTTGAGATCGCGCCGGGCCTGCCCGTGCCTGCGCCCGTTGAGCGAGCTGCGAATTACTCGCCGTCCTCCACGGAGCGTGAGTGGCGCCCGCGCTTGCGCTCCCCCACGCCTGTGCGGTTGCTGCGGACAGACGCAGCCGCTCGCCGCCGCGCCACTCTTTTCCTCACGGGCAACCCCCTCCCCGGCGCGGCCGCCGTCTGGAGCGCCAGCGGCCGCACATAAAGGCGGAAACGATGTTCTTTGCTAGAGATCCGAAAAACGTAAACCAGCAGTGGTTGCTTCTTGGTCAGGACACGGCACAACTAAGGGCCCGGCACGAGGGAAGGAAGTGTTCCCGCAACCCTCACGCAATGCAAGGGCTACACCGGTGTGCGCACCGGCAGCGGCATGCAAGAGAGTGGTCTCGGGATGCGGTCAAAACCACACCAAGCCGTGAAGGGACTGAGGCTCGGGCCGATAAAACCGCGTGTGCTGGCCGAGGCTGCGAGGGTGGCAAGCGGAAGCCTGTGCAACAAGGCTCTTGCTTGTCGTGCTCACTGGCAGGTGGCCGTATACAAGCAAAGCAGTGAGGCTATAGGGGGAAGCGACCAGGTAGCCTGCTCCCACCAAGTGGGGAGTCGACAGCAAAGGCGGGGCACCGTGCGGGGGCGAGCACAGCTCGGACCAGGATGTCGGGCCTGCTCAAGCCGATGGGTCCCTCCTCGGAGCACTCACTCACTCGTTGGAAACGTCTGACCACGGCGGCAGAGACTGAGGCACAGGCTAAGGGGAAATGGGGAGGCACGGGGGCAGCCGGCACTGAAGGGGCTGCGAACGGCGAAAGCGCAGGCGAGGATACCGGACCACGGCACAAGGCAGATGTGCGGGCGCAGCTCTCTCTCCGCGTTCTGCACACCGCTTCGCGCTCCGCGACGGGCTGGCGCCGGGCGAGGACGGTGGGGCGCCGGCGGGCCGCACCTCCGGCCCCGGCCTCAACTTTGTGGGATTTGGCCGCTTGCTAGTCAGTGGAGCATGCTCAGTGCAGCTGCCCCTCAGGCCGCCGGCCGGATCGCTGACGCCGGGACTCAACTCTAGTGTCACCGACTGTACCGAAAGTTGTTGCGACGACACAAGGACCCACCTTCTGTAGCTTGTTAGCACGTTTGTTGCCTGCAAACTGATGTCGCGCCCATCTCGCAGTGCCACCCCAAACTCGCGACGTGGGCCACACCCCGCCGCCCCACATGCGCCTGCAGTGGCAACCGGACGCGGCGCTGCTGGCCCCTGCGCGATAGCATTGTCGTCTGCTGACACGCCTGATCACCGCCGACGGAGGCAACGGCACAGTGTGTGAAATGGATAACCTGGACACTTCCTTCGTGGAAAGCTGGTGCGGGCTGTCCTGCCCCCACCCTTTAGCGCCCACGACCCGGTGAGCCATGGGATGATCGTGGTGGATTGGGGAGAGCATGCCGAGCTTGAAACAGAGAACAGCCACGTGGAGAGCCATGGGAGTACAGAGGCTTTGTTGGAGCGCGAGGAGCTTGCAGCTTTCCAGGAACACGAACGGCGCTTCCAAGAGTACATGGACGAGAAGGACAGGGAGGCTGACAACGCTGCAAGGGCAGGACTGGACTTTTCAACAGGCCCTCCATGCTCCGCCGGTTACACGGGAGCGACCTTTCCTCGAGATAACATTGCTTGGGGGAGATGGAGGCAGTAGCCACGGACGACTACGCGGGTGAGCCTCAGCCCTGGCATGTTGTACAACTTCGCTATCATGCCCCAGGAAGCCCTCAGACCAGTGAAGCCAGCACGGGGGGGGCTGATGGTGTCCTGCGGGGGTGTCGGTAGTAGCTCTGATGTGAACATGGGGTGGGGAGTGGGCACATTACGTCCACCACCAGCCGAAACACTTGTGGAGAGCTACGAGGAGGAGGAGGCCCATCAGGCCCCAACAGACATCCAGAAAAAAAATCCGAGCATGAGGGATCAGGTGAAACCTGAATCCAGTGAGTGTGAGTTTGTGTCTGGCCAGTTGTCTAACTGCAAGTCTGGGGTTATGCCCCAGAGGATTTTTATCCAGTAACGGTGCTTTTTCTCCTTGGATATGCAGCTAGCACACTATGTCAGTTATCGAGAGATGGATGTTCGCAAGTGCGTTCCAGCTACTTACAGCCGTAGCTCTTAACGCCCAGCATGAAGTTGCTTTCCATAGACCTGTGGCGGGGGCCACCAAAACAGCGAGTGGAAAAGGGTCGTGCAAAAAAAAAGCTTAAACCCTGAACCCTAAGCTGAAAAACCCTGAACCTTAACCCCTGAACCTTAAACCCTAAACCCGAAGCCGTAAAGGAATGGTCTCGTTAATGGGATCCCGGGACGCCCGTCCTTAACTTGAGACCAGTCGGGGCCAAACCCCAAATCCTAAAGCCTTCCTCGTAGACCCAAGCTTTTTGGGTCACAGGCGAGGGGTTTGTGGGTCACAGATGAGGGAATTTCTTGGGTCACAAGTGAGGGTTGGGCCAAACGTCGGCCGTCGGCTTGCATTCCTGAGTATGCTACACTAAAACGATGGACAGGATGTCAAAAAAACAGTAAACAAACGTTGCAACCAAAAGATTCGCTGCATGAGTTTCTGGTACTTGATTTCAGGCCGGTGTGATAGTCGGTTTGTCGTGCAAGCAGCAGATGCCTCTGAGGCAAAGACAAAGGATGTGGGCACATTGCTCCCGATGGAGGCCGAAGGCTTTTTGTTTCAGATGTGGTCGATCACGTATGTGTGTTAAAAGATGCGAAGCACGCCCAAGGTTTCTTGCTTAGCATGGCCGTATAGCCGCCTCCCTCCTCATCTGATCATGGCTACTGCCCAGCAGCAAACTGAGCAATCTTGCAGCAGGTATGCCAGGCCAATTTCTCTCGGTCTATCGGAGCCATCTCCGTTCCGCGGATGATCTCTGTCAAGGCTTGGGTTCAGACGGCAAGTTTTGCATGCACTGTTTGAGATGACATGTGTAAGTTTACGACATTTACCGTGGTTGAGCACCAGTTTCGATCGGCAACGGGTTCGATTGATGAGGTGATTGTTTTATGCCATTGCATTGGGCGCAGCTTGTGCACATGTTTCGCCAAACGTTCGCAGGTGATGACGTGAGCTTCCTGAAGGCCAGGATTCGGGTCGAATTTCTCAGATAGCTTCTTGTTTCGTAGCACGATGGCCTTGATTTGGCTCCCTGAAGGACTGGGACAGCCGGCAATGGGGCACGGAAATGGCGGTTGACGTGCAGGCCCAGATTTCCGAAGTACAGACTTCTGGCGTCTTCTGGTCCATGGTGCCACAAAGACAGCCACAAAGACGACAGGTTTTAGGCAGTATTGGTGTCGCACAAAGGAGCTGGGATTGTGTCGCAGTGTCTGACGGTTGGCGCGAGGTTGTTCTGCCACGCCCACAAGCTGCCAATGTTCATGCCGTGATCAAGGAAGCAACAATGGGCAGTGCGTACCCGGTGAAGGACTCACTCACCCCAGGATGATTTGAATGCCTGACTTGCAGCATGCATTTCTCACCTAGTCAAGTAAGGCCGCTTTTCAAGGCGTGCCTTGCACTGGAGCCGAAGCCTCAACTGTTGGACTTTCGCATTCGCATCGTGGAAAGCATGCATGCGGGAAGGCCATGTTTTCCTCACGCGTAGCAGCAGGTTGTGAAGCGCTGGCTGCCGGACAAAGGCACACTACATGCTTGGACTACCAATGCATACCGATGCTAGAATTGGAGGGTGACTTGAATACGTGAGGTTACGGATTCGTTAAGCCGGACGCTGGCGGAGCAGCAACTTGGACCATGTTGCCTTGGCCAGGGACGGACCCAAGGCAATAACGCATGAAACCAGCTCCAAAATGAGCAGCATGAAGTGCAGCTAAGGACATTTATGTTCACCAGTCTGCCTTGGAAGGTGTGGCCGCACTCAGCTGTGGCGACCACGTCAGCTTTCTCAGGCCGATCCTTCACCGGCAAGACTCACGGCGATTTTCTGAAGGAATGTGTGGGGAAGGAGCAGGATGCACGAACGGCAGGGGGAGACGAACAGACCAATGGTCGTGCCTTTCGTCAGTTGTGATACGGTGTTGCGGAATGTTTTATCTGATTCTGAAACTTCCGAGACTTAATGCTTTACTTTGACAGGTTGGCGCTTATGTAATCTTGGAACTTACTACGTTTGCAGGGGTTCTCAATTTAACTTAGAACTCCAGAGGCAGGTTGGAGCTCTTGATGGGAAGGGGGGTCACCTGTGTCTT